AATACAGATATTGGTCCTTGGAAGGAAGATTCTGTCCTATAAAAACTTAAAATACGCTATTTGGAATTGGTAGTCATGTAGCAGGTAGGAAAGTAGTAGTTTAGTAGATAAGAGAGTTCAAAAGGACACTTTAACAAGCAAACGCAATCTGAGAAGCAGCACCATGTGTGTACTCCTGCCTGACTGGGATAGCCAAACCCCATCCCATTCTGGCACAAGGTAAGTAAGTACAAACAAGAAGTAGCATATTTTCCCACTCCCCTCTGCCCCAACCACCGTAAGCAACCAGCTTATCTGGAGACACACAGGCTGTGATGATGGATAGCTATCGAGGTGAAGTGCAATCGAACGCCTGTGGTGCTTTGCTGTTTCACTAACATTGCAGGTCTAGGGCCAGTGGTCTAATCATAGGTTCAGAGGATAGCAGTACACAGTGTGACATCTAGGAGAACCTCCTCCTGCGGTTTGCAGACATTGATTCCCCATGGTCTTGTTCTGGAAGTCCTATATCATTTCCATTGTTTTGTTGGGTTAGGTTTTATTCTCTTTTGTTTTGTTTGATTATGGCAAATGTAATGGCATGAGCAGCTACTTCAAAGATAACGAGATATATTATGGTAGCAATTTTGGATTTATTATAGGCTTGTTTTGAAGTCCTTTATTACATTCATCATTTTGTTTTAATTGTTTCTATTCTGTTCTGTTCTGTTTGATTTTTACTATGTCCAAAGTTAAATGTAGCTATTTTGAAGATATCAACTGGTGACTATTACTGATTTTGCAATGTTTTTAGGCCTGTGTCTCTTACACTGGTTTGTGTTGATTGGTTTTCTTTAAAAAAAAAAAAAAAAAGATAAAGAGAGTCCTAGTGACATTGTCCCTAAGGAAAAGAAAGAAGACTGTGAACCCAGGGTGTTGGGAATACAGTTGGAGTCAGAGTGATAATATGTGTGGGCTACAATTGCTCACCTTTAGCAAGATATTACAAGAGAAAGATAAACTCAGATAAGCGTTGGTTACTTTTCTAGAAAGGATGGTTTGAAAAATTCTAGAGATCAAAGGCCTGGGCTACAGATGCCTTCAGGCCCTAAATCCAAATGAGATGAGATTGAATTTTAATTGAGAAAGACATAAAAACAAATTTCAGTTCTTGAAAAAGTGATACAATATATCAGCAAAGATCAGACTAAGGATCTTATTCTTGCCATCCTAACATATTATTTCAGATAACCTCAAGCTAGTTATCAATTTGAGAGAAAGGACATGTGTATGAGGCAAGTAGTTTTTGAAACAGGACTAGAACATGAAATTTAGAATATGGATCTAAATAAAAGCAGTTACATCAGAAAGCCTTCATTTTTATGAGAATTATAATGTTAAAGAAGCTATGTCCCCAGACTAAAAATGATTTTCATTGAGCCTTAAAACAATCATCCATGTCCCAATGTCTCCTCAACAGGCAGCTCTGGTGACTTAGGTTTTTAGTTGTACCAGAAGATCCCCACTCGAACCCGATGAAAAAGACTGTATCATTTGGAGATCTTCTCTCTATCCTTTCTCAAATGAAGGTCTTCTTTAAATGTGTTTTCATTGACTTCCCAGCCCTTTTCCTGACAAGAACACTAGCTATGTGATAGGAATAATTTTCAGTAGATTTAGCAAATATATTTCTTAATGTAAAATTTCAAATTTCATATTTGATTAGAGATTGTAAGAAATTAAAGTTGCCAAGCAAACACTTGGCATGGGAGAAATTTTAATTTGGACTCTTTTCCTTTAAATTTAGCCTGAGCTACCCCTATGAGTAAGATGACAGTGACAATTTTTTTGATGTTCTATTTTCAAAGCAACAGGCTATGTCAGAGAAATATTTTATCACAGAATTTTCCAAAAAAAAAGATACTTGGCTGTGAAACAGAAGGCTCTAATTTAACTGCATGTTATTCAACAATCATATAAATGAAAATAGAAATAAAAACCCAAAATAACCACTTATGTGAACACTTTTATTAATAGTTGCCATGGTATAATAAACCTTCGGCACTTTACATCAATGAGTATTTTTAAAATGACATTGAAGGGTATTATTCAATTATATGTCAAAGCAAGATTGTTTCTTGCAAATAAGAGAGAATCTGAATCATGAACACCATAAAGAAAGAGCAGCCTTAAAACATTTAATATAGTGTAAGTAGTGTCATCGTAGAGGGAAAGATTACTCATTAATATTTAGAAACTTTTAATCCTAAGCACCTCAATACAGTCGTTTTGCTAGTATACTTCATTATCTTAAAAGGCAAAATTAAAAGCAATGTCTTTATTTTTTTGAAAAGTAATTCTATAATTTGCTGTAAATACAGCAAACTGTACTAAGAGCAATAATTAAGGCAGTTTTCAAACCTCGAAGTCTACTGGGAAATTAGTGAAATGGCCAGGGCATGATTCACTAGGGTCTGTGGCGTTGCGGCTATACTGCATGTACCAGCATTTGAATGATTTAGATTAGGCTAGAGCAACAAATCAGCCAATAGCGTGGCTGCCTCCTTTACTCATCAGTGATCAGCTGGGGTTGTTTTTGGTTATTTGTGAATAGTATTGGTTTTTGTAACAGAAGGAAAAGAAAGAACATAGCTTCTGCCTAGTCATAACGGTCCTTTATTCATTTGAAAGACATTAGAAGGCATGATAGTCATTAAGACTGTTCTTAAATACTCTGTTTCTCTGTATCTATCTGTCTCGTATCTCTGTGTCTCTGCCCTTTCATTTTGTGTAAAGGTCTAGTTGAACCTACCTGCCTACTGGCATTTATGTGACCTTTTGGCCCATACAACATGAACAGGAGTGCTGTGCTCAAACTGTAAGGGCCAGAAGGTAGATTGTCACGTGGTCTGTTTCCTCTCAATACCAGTCAGATTGATCAGGGAGAACAAACAAAAAAAGAATGTTTAAGATAATTCTTATATAAGCCAATTATAACTGAAGTTTAAGAACCAGAAATCTTTTAAATCAAAAGATGCACAATATCATAAAGCTGAATATTTTTATATATTCCTCTTTTATTTAAAAGAACAGTTTTAGAATCACTTCTGCCATACTTCTTGTAATCTCTACCATTAAATGTGCTTAAAATTAACTTGTATATTCAATGTAAACCTAAGGAAACACTAGCATTCAAATAAGTAATGTGTACTATAGAAAAGTCAAATATTTAAATTATTTAACTGAACTGTCCATACTTTTCTCATGAAACACAAAGTGGTTGCTGCAAGGAACTCTGCACTTTGATTTTATTTTCTTCTAATATTTGTTTCTGAGTATGTTATTAGAGACAGAAGAAAACCACTCCCATTTTACCTCATTTCTGTCCCTCCATCTTTTCAGTCATGTGGAAAATTTGTTGCAGAAGATACAAAGCCGTGCAATGGAATAACTATCTTCTGCTATGTACTGAGAACCAGTGAAACAGCCATCAGTATTGCCGCACAAACCAAGTAAACCTGAACATGTCTCACAAATTTGAAGAGTAAAACTGAAAATAAAAGGGGGGAAGCTAGAACAGTGTTTATTTGAAATACGTGATGAGAAGTGGCTTCCAGCTTGGGGAGAGGCCCCGTGTGGGTTGGCAGGCATCTGCTCAACCCCGAGCTTCTTATGGATGAGCAGAGCACAGAATCTGCTCAGTTGTTTAGTGGCCACTTATCACGGGTGGTTCAATGGATTTATATTTATTTTAAAAGGAATAAAACAATAATAAAATGAAAGGAAACAGTGATAAGACAGTAGGAAATCTACAACAGTTACTATACTGCACATTGTTGTCCTCTAAATAGTTGCTCAGAATACTGGTTTTAGGCTGCTCCACAGGCAGTGGCTTAGCTGCCTTCCTGGCTCTCCCCACTCCATGCTCTGCCTGGCTCATAGGTGGGGGCCTTGCTTCTATCCTGGGTCTCCCTGTTCCATGCTGGCTTTGTGGATTTAAAACAATCAATGGAATTCAAGCTCTCAGTATGTATGCTTTTATGTTTTACGTGAAACTGAGATTTTAAAGAAAAGCCCATTATTTTGCATTTTAAATTCCATAGTGCTTAGAAACTTAGTAGCAAGGCTGCATTCCATGTTGCCAGAAGAAATTCACTCTTGGTCCAAATTCATAGCCTACTACCTGATCTTACTTTAATTCTTATCAATGTGACTGATCACCCAGCTCTATTTCAAGGCCTTTCCCTGGCTTACTATCTATTCATAAACTAACTGACTAAATTGTCATTTATACAATAAACACTAACTCATCTACTTACTGCCTCCTTCCATATATTTTCAATGCAATTAACTACTGGAATAACTGACTATTAGACCCTCAAGTTATGTTAACTACCAACTATTCACTTTTTTAGGGAAATAGTCATAAGAAATATAATTCCTTTCATTCTATAGGTAGTCATAAAAATGTGTAGAGGTGAATACATTTATTTGCATTGAACATTAAATTTCACATCAGAGTGTTGTCTTAGTCCATTTGTGTTGCCATAAAACATTCTAAACAATAAAAAACCTTGTACTTTGTAAGTGATAAGAATTGATTATCTATATGTAGTTATGGAGACTGAGAAGTCCAAAATCAAGAGACCAATAGATCTGCGTGTTCTTCACAAATGCTGATACCGTATGTGTCCTTACAAATCAGAAGGGGCAAACAAGTTCCTTTGGGCATCCTTTATAAAAGGAAAAGGATTAATTCCCTTTACATGGGCAGCAGTCTTATGACCCAATAATCACCTCCCAAAGCCCCAGTTCTTAATATAGTCACATTTGGGGATTAAATTGCAGCCTGAGAATTTGAAGAAATATAAACATTCAGACCACAGCAAGTATATATTTCATAATAGTTGTGACTGAAATCAGTAAAGAGTTCCGAATTCTGTTAGAAAAAAGCCTTTTAATGACATTCATGTACAGTTATACAGTACTAATACTAGCCGATTTTTTTTTTTATTTTGAAGGTAGTAAAATACAACAAAACAAGACAGAGCAAACCAATCGAGACACTGCAGTGAAGCTGGTACAAAATTTCAGAGCAGGATACCAGGATAACAGTAATAGGTAACCATAGTATATCTTGTTATCTTCACAATAGTTGTCTGTTCAATCAGGCATAGCAAAATTAAACCAAAAACAGAACATTATAAAACCTTTTGGAAGGGGCTGGGGATTTAGCTCAGCAGCATAAGTGCCTGCCTTGCCACCAGGCAGTCATGAGTTCGATCCCTGGTACCGATTTAAAAAAAAAAAAAAAAAAAAAAAACCTATTGAAACAGAATATTGAATAGAGCAAAACTATCGGAACAGGACTTCCAGGAGAACATGGTGGACAGATAGCAGCAGCTACGGAGGCTTTCTGAAAGACCCAGCTTAGAATTCAGGAATGGTGCGGAGTAAGGAATCATAAGCAAGTGGAGATATGCCCTGCTGACCCAAGAACAAACTGGGCTGAGAGAAATCAACTGGGAATGCAATCCTGGTGCTATAACAGGAACAGAAAAGCCACAGTGTGGAAGCTGGAGCCCGCACCATTGGAAGCCATCATTTGGGTTTCCTGCCGCCGCCGCTGTGTCTACATCGGCTCGGCAGGGAGAGAGACGAGCGAAAGCTCTGAGAATGGGAATTGGTGAACGGAGTTGAAAGCAGGACAGGCAGGGAGCTGTGCATTGACCTGTGGTGAGTGAGAGAAACTGGGACTCTTCCATGGTCTAGGAGACTCCAACAGAGGACATTCTGGGACCGGGCAGACTTGCGGGAACAGGGTGCTGCAGCGACTTCAGTTACGTATCCCCCTCTCAAGCGGGATTGGTGAGCAGTGCCTAGCTTAGGTGACGCTGCTGGCTGAGACCCAGTAGGCTAGTACAACCCAGGTCCCAGCGCCTGTAGGTAGATTAACCTGGAGGGGCAGGCCCTGCATAGGCTGCCTGGTCTGCAACTTCCTGGTATGGTGGGCGGGAACACATAACCGACGCAATTCAATCAGACTGTGGCCAACATGGAAGGAAGCTGGGCCTCTAATATACGCTTGCATATATAAGGAACAAAGAATATGGGAAGAAGCAGCAACAAGAAAGGGTCCTCAGCCCCCAATCCTGAGAAAGAGGCAATAGCAGACACAGCACCAATAGATATAAAGTGCTATCTTCAGGGCCTCATAGACAAGTTCAGGAATGAAGTTATTAATGACCTGAAGCTAGACATAAGCAGAATAGTTAGAGAAATGCTAAGCACCACCCAAGAAAAAACAGATGATGGAATGGAAGAACAGAAAAAGAGGGGAGAATTGTTTGATGAGAAAATAGAGAAAGCATAGAATATGTGAAGCAGGTTCAAAGAGATTACCAGGAAACTAAAAACTCTATTGAAAACTGGCATAACAGGTTGAAAGAAACTAAGGACAAATTATCTGAACTGGAGGGCAGATTTGTAATATGGGAACATGAAATGAAAAACTTCTTAAAAATAACAAAGAAACAAACAGCAATAATACAAAGACTAGAAGATAAGAGGATCTATAACTTAAGAATTAACATAAAAGAAGAAGTAGGGACACAAACAAATGAACTACAAAAGCTACTCACAGAAATAATCCAGGAGAATTTTCCTAATTTAGCAAAAGGTAAAGATACTCAGTTGTATGAAGCATACAGGACCCCAGCCACCTACAACCCAAACAGAGCAACACCCAGGCATATAATAATTAAAATTCCAGAAATCCAATACAAGAACAGAATATTAAAAGCTGTCAGAGACAAGAAACAGATCACTTACAAGGGAACACCCATCAGAATTACAGCAGACTTCTCAGCACAAACCATCAAATCACGAAGAGCATGGGGGGAAATAATTCAAGCTTTGAAAGATAATAATCTCCAGCCAAGATTGATATATCCTGAACAAATATCTCTGGAAATTGATGGAAAAACAAGGTGCTTTCAGGATAAAGAGGAACTAGGGGAATATGCAACCACCAATTCAACTCTACAGAGAATACTACAGGATATTCTAAAAAAGAAAAATACGAAGAATCCAGAAATAGTGGCAGAGAGGCCACAATGAATGGAGCAGAAAACAAAATGAAGAAGACAAACTGACAACTAATGACAGAAAAAGAGCTCAACAGAAATGAGGCAGAGAAGATTGGATGATAGGAACAGCTATTTCGGAGAAAATGACATCTTAATAGGTAATACTGATTTAGTATCATCTTGTTTTGAAGTCTCATCAAGCTTTTTTCTTCTGTCTCCATTGGTCTAAACAGGTTGTATCTCATTGGATTTTATTATATATAATAGTATAAGCAAAAACTTTTATAGACAAGGAGATTATAACAGAAACCATTGTTCATTTTCTGTTAGTTGATTCTAAATACCCTGTAATACTGTCATTTTCTTAAATGGTTTTACATTGTTTTGATATATTTGATGCTACAGTATACGAAGTTATACTCAAAGATTTCAAGGAAAGAGACAATATGGTAACTACTTTTATGTCGAGATTATTTTGTGATGAAACACTATTTTGCTTAAATGGTTATATTTTGATCTGCGCTGTTTTGCTGTTATGCCCTCTTTTATCTCAATCTCCATTTTATTATTTACTTTTTTATTTTTATCCTTTTAATTAAGGGAAAAATAAATAAAAATAGCAGGATATATTATAGTAACCCACTTTGACTTTCCATTATCTTGATTTAAAGCCCTGTATTACTCTCACCATCTTGTTTTTGACTGATGTCCCCCTATTCTGCTTTGGTTGATAGTACCAGGTTCGAAAGTTTAGGCAACAAATGTGAAGATAATGAGATTCATTATGACACCCATTCTCGATGACTTTTATCTACTTTTGAAGACCTACAATGTCTCCAATGTTTTGGTTTTGTCGGTTTTCTTCTTTACTGTTTTGTTCAATTTTATTATAACTGATGATATAGGCAATTCTATTAGAGATAGCAGGAGGCATTATGGTAACCATTGTTGATCACCTTGTATTATGCTTTTACATTATCTATTATGTCTACCCTTTTGATTTTGACTCTGTTCTGTTATGTCACATTTGGTTCTACTCTCTTCCAAAAAAGTAATAAGAACTGTGGGAACAACAAAACCCAAAATGTGTAATTGTCATTGTACAAAAGACAGGAAAAGAAAGTGCTCTAAATGATATAACTGCATATATATTTAAGTGTATAAGATAGATAATGATATTACTGAGTTTTGATGGATCATTGAACAGAACTGTTTGCAGTCTCACTATCTGAATGTCCACTTTATATGCTTTAATTTTGTAACTTGAACAACTATTTCTAAGATGACAATATGTAATCCATTAACTAGTGATTTCCTACTGTTTTTTTCTGTAAATCTGTGTAACTTGTACCCTTTCTCTGCTTTTTTTCTTTTTCTCCTTAAATAAAATTTTAAAAAAAAAAGAAAAAAACTATCAGAACAAAGCAAATACAGTGAAAACAATACTTGCCTTCAGAGAAAATCCCCATATTTGCTATATTGCATATGGTCATCCTCTCAAGAGATGCTCAGACCTCTTCCCCATTTGCAAATGGGGGTGGGGAGGGGCGTTTGATTCTCAGCCCATGCATGGGTAGGCTCATGGAAGACACTGATTGGTTCTCTCCGTGACTCGCCTGCCGCTTATTCATGCCGCCGCCACTTACCTTGAAGGAGGGCCTGTTGCCTTCTTGCTCAGCCCTCTTAAATTCCAACATGGCTGTATCTCGGGAGACTCTGACTTATTCTCCTTCCTAGTTGATTATTGCCCTGAAATAAAAAATGGTATATATTAGTCTGGGTCCTCCAGAGAAACAGAACAAGTAGGAGATAAGAGAAAATTTTTATAAAGATCAGGTCTCGTTATATGACACTTGCAACCTGAAGAACCAAAAAGCCAATGGTGTAATTTATCCTAAGTCTAACACCCCAAAAGTCAAAGGAAGCAGTGGTGCAATTCTCAGTTTGAAATGGAAAGCTTGAGAATATTAAAGGGCTGCTGGTATAAGCAAATATTCAGGTGCCTAGAGTTTTTCCTAGAAAGCAGGATGTGGGTGTTCCAGTTCAAAAACAAGAGCTACTTTGTCATTTTCTATCTTTTTCTTTCTGAGTCCTCAATAGATGTGATGATACCTGCCAACATTGATGAGGGCTACCCTTTCATTCAATGTATTGACTTAAATGCTAGTCCTTTCTGGAAATCACTTAACAGAAACATTTGGAAATAATATTTTACCAGCTTTCTGGATATTCCTTAATGTAGTCAAGATGACTGGTACTTTTTCTTTCATTAAATTATAGTTTACTTAATAAGTGAGATGATATAATTAACATTACATGTTTCATGTGATGTTTCAATATTTATCAAACAAGAATAAAATACAAATAACTTCTACTTCAGTTATTTTCATGGAGTTGATACAGATGCTTTAAAGATCATATAGAATAGTCAATCCGACCATGGAGAAAATAGAGATATTTCAGAACATCTACAAGGTCAGAACTATTTTCACAATATTAGAGAGATATTATATGTCCTTTTCATTGTCTGTTTTCAATTTCATTGACGATGTGTGTGGTAGGGTAAACTTTTAAACTAGTACCAAGGTTTCTCTTCCATGGTATACACTACTTGTGTAACTCCCTAATGTTGAATGTGAGAAAAATCTGTGAGTATGATGAAATATCACTCCGATGCTTATTTACTGTTCAGATTACTCTAAACTCAACAAACAAAAGATCATCCATTCGACCTGTTCTAATCAGGTGAATCCTTAAAAGGAACTCATTTCTTGTTATATTTGAAGCACAAGTGAGACTAGTTGTGTTGGCACCAAATATAGTGGTGAGAAACATGAGTGTTGTGTGGTGGCTGAGTGGCTTCAGCTGACAGCTAGCAAGGACCTAGGGACCTTAGTCTCACAACTGCAAAGAACTTAACTGCAACTCAACTATGAAATTTTGGCGGGGAGGGCCCAACAACAGAGGAGAATGCATGTTGCCTTACATCTTTATTTGGGGACCCTTGTCAGACCCTAAGCAGAAAACCTAGCCATACAACAGTTGGCTTCTCTGGCTTCTGAATGTTAGCTAATAATTATGTCCTGTTTTAAGCCACTAAGGTTGTGATGATTTTATGCAGTAGTGAAAAACTAATATAGTCGGTAATATTGCTGCCACCTTGGAACAAACGAAGGTCAAGGCACCAAACCATTCTAGCAATTGTTTACTCCATGCATTTACCGGAAAGTATTCTAGCTGTCCTTAACAATGTCTTTGGGATCTTCTAGGGAAATTTCAGAGTAGTAACAAGCAACAACTCAACCTCTCCAAAATTCAGACACTGGAAAATAACAACCTGGGAAAGAAAACAGGAGGGAGATAGATTTCCAGGACCAAGGAAGGATATGATAGAGAAACTGGGGCCTACAGAGAAATTTAAGAGACATATCATGACAAAGAAAAAGAAGGGCCAATTTGCAATTTCTCCTTGCTCCTAACTTGTGGGTCTCAAGACAGGCGGATGATTGAAAGCAGGGGACTCCAGTGGCCTTCAGGGAGAAATGCAACCGCGTAACGGACTGGCAAGTGCTGTTTGCTGCAGTGGCTGGTGAGTGACTTCAGACCAAGTGCCTGGTATATCCCTGGAGAGAGCAATTTTTACCATTTCAGGGAGGCGTTGACTGAACCGTGTGTGGGTTAGTTTTGTTTCAGAGTCACCGGTGTTACATAGTGACTAGATGAGGCACAGGCATGGGAGACAGCCATGGTCAGAGAGCCATGACTAGGCCAGCCAGAGATCCTCTAAGGGGTTTAATCTAAAGGAATCAGGTCCTGCCCCCACAGCCAGAGGCCAGGCCCCACCTGAATTATTCTGGATTTGACAGTTACAGAATTAGCACACTCACTCTTAATTTTACTTCCTGCGAGTGACTGCATCCTGGTAAAATTTGGGATCTGACTGTCTTCTTTATCTACCAGTGTGAGAAAGGACACAGTTCCAATTGGACACTGCCCCAGAGTTGTAGGTCCTGGAAGAAAACCACACCTTTGAAATCAAAGGGAAAGTTCTTTATTTTATTTTATTGCCCAGGAATCACCTCATAACCTAATGCTTGCCATGCAGGCAGTGTGCCACTAAGCAAGCATGAATACAGAACAGGGGCTCTTCCTATAGGAGTTTGGGTCAGTGGCTCTTCCTGGCTTCCTCAAGGGGATTCATACCTATTTAGAATATCAGTCCCTGATGTTTATTCTTAGGAAGCATTTCTCCTGAGTTCCCAGATACTGTTGCCTCAGTTTTCTTGCAACATCAACAGTGGTTTTGGTCATCAGGAAAATCTAGACAACTGCATTCTCATTCTCAAGAGTGGTGTCTGCTGTCTGGCTTTTTGTGAGATCAGCCACTGTAGCCATGGAGGAAGCCACAAAAGCACCATGTTCTTCAGTATACTGCTTACTTAATTTTTGGGTCCCTTTGGGTCTTCTTTCTAGGAAACAGATGTTAAAGGGAGTTGAAAGGTCACAAGAATTATTTGGGGGTAATTCTTGTGAAAGATAAAGGAAGGGAGAGGGGAAAGTCTTAGGTCATAGAGCAGGTCATTTGTGAAG